CACAACACAGACACACATATGTTCAATGAATTAAAATTAAATTAAAAAGAGATAAAAGGAATGCATCAAGCCCTACTGTGTATTAAAAGGAGATGTCCCTCCCTTGGTAAACATTTATCCTGGTAATTACACATGTTTTGTGCGCTCTGGTACCGGCAAGAATGTCTGCCGCGTGCCGGGTGTATGGAGACCTTCGACATCACCACTGATAGTGGTGACTATTCTGCCACCTGGTTTGTGAACCAAACTGTTTCAAGGGCAGACATATGGTGGCTCTGCGGAGATGGCAAGTTGAGACCCAGACTCCCCTCACTGTGGCAAGGTGGCGGCTGTGCCCTGGTGCAGCTGCTGATGCCTTTTCACATATTCTCCTTGAGAGAATACAGGGAGCTGGGGGAGAAGCTGTTATCTGCATCCCACCTACATTATGAAACCAGATCTACAGGTGAGCCCCGAGGATTGTTCAACAAGAGTGTACTTAAATGCAATTGGCGTACCCCGAGTAGTATCTGATGAATTTAAAGCTAGAAATAAAATAGCTGCAGGGTTCGAATCTTTTCTTTCCTGGTGGGTCACAGTAAATAAGAATGTGGATTGGATTAACTACTGTACTATAATTAACAACGTTTTGTGAATCATACCCGAGATGCAATTAGAGGCATAGCAGGACAACTGGGCCCAACTTCTCTCGTCATGGTAAAATAGAATGGCCCTAGATATGTTGTTAGCTGAGAAAGGAGGAGTATGCAAAATGTTTGGCACGTTTTGTTGTACTTTTATACCTAACACTTCCCCAGATGGCAGCATCACCAAGGCCCTTGAAGGACTGACTGCCCTATCCGAGGAGCTGGCTGTGAATTCTGGCATCAACAACCCCTTTGCCAATCTCCTGGAATCCTGGTTCCAAGAGTGGAGAGGCCTGATTGCTTCTGGTTTGATCTCTCTGTCTGTAGCTGCAGCCCTGCTGGTCGTGTGTGGCTGCTGCTGCATTCCCTGCCTGCAAGGACTGATGGTAGGACTGATAGACACTGATCTAACTAAGACAATGTATCAACAGATCCGAGATGAGGAAAAAGGAGAAGAAAACCACTAAGAACCAGACAATGGGGTTGTGCTGCTCACGTATTGAGCCATGTGCCTGCTCATCTTAGCTGCTATGATGCCTGATAGGAGCTTCCATGTTGTGCAGAGGCAGGTTATTGGGTGGTAGTTGGATGGTACTGCTCCCTTCTGAGGGTCCTTCAGAATCAGGACTGTCCAGCCTTCAGTTAACCACTCAGGGTGGGTTCCATCCATTA